GTAATTGAATAATTTTAGTTGCAGACGATTAATTCTGCTATATAAATATTTATGACTGTACACATTTTATTTTTTGAACAGTAAAGTCTGTAGTTGTTACTTGAATTCGGGGTTGAATACGTTATATTAAAACGATTTTGAAGCCTTACCACGTTGTTGCAGTTAATGTCACCGTACATCTTGACAACAACCATGTGGCGTAGTTTCCATTACAAAAGATTTCGTCGTAAGGTTGTTATTTAAAAAAAAAATTCTACTACTTCCTGTACACTTTCCATAAGCCATCTAGTTTAGGTGGATGGTGATTTTCCAGCGCCCATTTCAACAGGCCAATAGCAAAGAAATCCATAAATGCTGCGTACTGTGACTTGACCGGTATGGAATAGTATGAATACTATTACTACTGGTCATGCAATAATAAAATATAATCGTTTTGAAAGTACGTTATGGGGTTCAAATCTTCAAAGTATTTATTTATTCGTATAATGGAAAAAGTATTTATAAAAAAATATTGCAAGGCCAGCAAAGCTATGCCTTACTATTATACAGCGGCGACCATCCTCCTTAACGCTTACGAAGATACCCCCAAATCTCGATGTGTATCCATTAAAATTTGGTAATGAACAGATTACCCAACACTTTAAAATAGTTAAAATATATCTAAATATCATTTAGGATATAAATAAAAAATAATATTCCTAAGCTCAATTCTATCTATATTATTTAAAATATAATATCATAGCATTATGCTCAAAGTTTCAGAAAATACGGAAGGATTGCAACCCCTCTTCAACAGCTACAACCATTTTATAATTCTGGTATAGCTAAGGAAACTGAGAAAAAATAAATATTAATACCGGTAACCTATTTAAGATTTTACACCCACTGACCTTCTTTTTCCAGCAAGTCCCCCGGTGGGACGGTGGTAAGTCTTCAGATTTACAACGCTAGAATCAGGGTGGACACAGCAGACAGCCCAGCCCGATGTGGCTTTGCTATGAGAAAACACACATACTTTCCAACAATTCCATTTTTATTTCTTCCCTCCCCCCAAAAGCAAAGCTGTTTGAATACTACGACTAATATTTTCCTAGTAAGATGAATATAATTTTAAATATTATTGTATTATATATATATCAGCACATAAGTAGCAATGAAGTATAAAAGTTAGCACTCACTATTAAATGACATCATTCTTATATAGCAAAAAGTGTAATTAACTTTCCAGTTGGCTTGTTGTGAAACACAAAGCTACATAATGGGCTGTCTGTGCTCTGTCCATCGTGGGTATCGAAACCCGATTATTAGCGTTATAAACACTTACACTTGCCGCTGAGCCATTGGAGAGGGGGGCTTTCTCTGTTAGAGAAGATTTTGATTAAAATGTTTTTATCCCTAGAGTGAGTTTACGAAACTCACGTTTTATAATTTTGAATATGTTTTAACCAAATTTTTGGAGAATGGGTTGCGATCTTTCTTATTTCTTTATTTTTACTGTAAAGTTAACACCCTCATCACTTAAACATATGTTAACCTGCTTGTAAATATTTTGTGTTATCAACTCCTTCCACAGTTGTCAACAAATTTGAAACTAAGATTATGGAAATGTGCCTATTTCTTAGTAGTGTTGAAACCTTCAGGTATAAACAAACGAACGGACATTATATAATCAACTCTCTGTACATGTTTTAAAGTGTATTTCTCAAGTTTCGAAAGTTTTTTCACAAAATTCGTCTTGACTGTGACTAAGAATTTCAAATTCTAATTAAGATACAACCTTTTTAGCCAAATACACATATTTGATGTAGTTATAACTCCATTTTGACATGTCCTTTCAATATATGTCACTTTTCTTACAAATAATATTTTGTTTACTGTTAAGCACAAAGCTACAGAATGTGTCTGTGGTCTGCCCGCTGCGGGCATCGAGTCCCAGTTTTTAGCGTTATAAGTCCCCACAATTACCACTGAGCCATCGGAGAGCATTTTTAGTACAGGGCTTTGACTTAATATTACTGATATGAAATCTTATACTCTAATTGTATTTGCCTATTTTATTCTATACTGCACACAATGTACCTGTTGTTTACTCAGTATCTCGATAAAAAGTGGAAGGCGTTGTTTTATTAGTCTTCAGAATGCCGGTTTTGCTAAAATGTATGCAATATTATATCACCAATTAGCTTGAAACGATACTTGTCTTAAACTTCTCTACTGGTATGACAAGTAACACAGAAAATTCTAATGGTCCTTTTACAATTTCTTTTTGTATATATATATATACATTTGTGTGTAATTTTCCGGTAAAAATTATTCGAGTAAGCAGGATGGCAGTGGCATGTTTTCTGAAAATATAAATTAAAGCCGATCTTGTGGCAAAAAGTACCTGAATGTTTGTTTTTTATTTTAGAATATTTTACAAGTCTTTCGAACTTTAAGCCATGGATTCAGTGCATTCCCTGGTATATCTTGTCTTTGCTTTATATCTGCATGTGTTTTAAGTGATTAACATTAATGTAC